CTGAGGCAGAAGTTTGCCATTTCAGAGTTTACAGGCCTGCAATCTTGTACAGTGCAAATCAGTCAGAACCCGCAACATGTGTCGCCCATGCGATCTCGATTTCAGCAGGAAGCCACACAGTGTGATATGTCAAACAAAAAGCTCAGTTTGCTCTGATGCAAACTAAGACAAAATTATAAAAAAAAAAAATTGACCTTGAGGCTGATATCGTCAGATCTGGTCACATATATTTGCGTCTCTAATTGTGCCTAAATGGCCGACGGTGCTCGATCCAAACAGACTCCATACCCCATTTTTACCCCGTTTGCAGGAATCAAGTGCAGATACAGCCGCTCCCATAGTCCCCCGATATTTTCAAGAGGGTATGAAGTATCCTACTCCAGACGTGTCCAAGTACGTGTATGATGAGGCATCTGGATTCTACTACGATCCAACCACTGGCTTGTACTATGATGGGAATTCACAGGTAAAAAGTGGTTACAGTATTCGTCTTTTGAGTGCTTCGTTGCCGTTTTCTCATGTCATACATAAGCAAGCTCAAGTAGAAAGTTTTGTGTGGTCATAGGCTGTTTACCATTTTTTAGAATTTTTTGATAATGTACTTTGATAATGTACATTTATACATACACGATGCATGCCAGCACGCGCAGGCGGCCTGCATTTCGATGTTCACAAACACGGCAGATCATGCATAAGTGCATGCACGACCTATGCTATACTAGCTAACACGCCCTTGCCCAGGCTACGCCTTTATGCACTCATCCCAGGTATCATCCCAAGCGTACTGTTATCATAGTAGGAACAAGGTTGATGCATCCTTCGACCACTTCCCGGTTTGTTGGTTCCCGCTGTGACCCCATCACTGGTAATGGAGTTACGAATGCGATTCTGCCCGGAACGGCTGATTAATTGCGTGTCAGTGCATGTGTTGTGCGAACGATCATGTGCGAAGTTTTGTGACATGTGACCTCATGTTTAGACAAAAATTTTTGATTGACATGGAAGTTGACCGGAAAGTGGATATCAAAGAAATTGACGAGGGAATCAAGAATAAATTCAAGTGGCCATGGCTGGAGGAAAAGGACCAGGATGGATATTTTGTGTCGGCCTACGTGCGCATGCTTAATAACGGTGGCCGTGGCCAAGCCAAATGCATCACCTGAAAGTTGCAGCTACGTTATTATTTTGTCAAGCGGGAAGAAGGCAATAATTGGACGCGGTAACTCCGAAAACCACCAGCATAGGAGGCACAGAGATTCAAACCCAACATTACCAAGTATGTTCAAGTCCCAGCTAGAAAGGGAAAAAGGAACTCTGCCTACTGCCATGACTGTATCATGTAATTTGCCCTTTGAAGCCCCTGTTATCTGTTAAAACCCTAAAAATTGAAGGGCGTGTGGACCCTTGCCGTTAGTTTCTCGGGCGCACAAGCCCTCCCTCGCAGTCTCACACAATTTATTGGCTTTCCGCGATTTTCAGGAAATAACTTTGTTGGTCACTTACGTCCCTGCCGTTTGTTTCATCGTGGAATGTTGACTTCTGTACATGTTCAAACTTTTATTCAACATGAAATCCTCCATCCACATAATTTTTTTTTCATTTCACGGATGCAGAAAGTGTGTCCACCTGGATCGCCATGTTGGAATCAAATCCTTGCAAAGTCAGTCTCCCCAAAAAATTCAGTTCACCCATCGAAGCTGTTCAAATGATACCCAATAAATACTTTCCTTCGTCACTGGCCATTCCCTGTGACATACCGTCACAGTTGTCATTCGACGTGCGACTGACTCAAAAGGGACTTGTGATAGGCTATAACTTCTCAAAAAATTGTAGTTTTGTGGTATTCATTTCATATGCTTAACTCCAACTGATCTGACATTGCTGCTTGGAACACTGCAAACCAGATTTAGGCAGTACATGGTTAATGCCAGTCAACCTCTCTCGTTCCAGTATTACTTCAATAGCGTGACGCAAAAATACCTGTACTGGGACGCAGCCGAGTCAACCTACCTCCCAGCACCGGAGTTCAAGCCTGAGCAGAGTGCTGCGAAGGCGGACGAAGCAAACGCAGAAAAGTCAGAGAAGGTGAAAGAAAAGGAGAAGAAAGATAAGAACGACAAGAACAAGATGGCCAAAAAGGTATGAGGCACATAGGTCATGTCAGAATCAAACCTGTCCAGCCTGCTGTGTTCATATTTTTGTCTAACAAAAAGATTGGAGGTTCTTCATATCGTTGGCATACTGACAGACTCTGATTAATCGGCTTTAGGTGAGGAATTGATGCCTGGAATAGATGAAGTCTCAGAACGTGTAATGGAATGTTATACAGTCCAAGTGGTTTTTTTTTTAACTTTCAACCACAACTGTATGAATCTTGTCCATGCTCTGTCTATTCCATCTTTTCCATGAGTTGCTAATGTCTCCTTTTCCCCGCAGCTGGCCAAAGACATGGCACGGTGGGCCAAGAGCATGAATTCCCTCAAGGCCAATGCTGCCAAGAAGGCTGGGGCCGGGATGGAAGGCGGTTTCTTTATAGCTGGAGCCGCAGACGCCGGCTTCGCAATGCTCATGAAGAAGGTGAGGAACAGTGGGTCAGCTTCCTTTCAACCTAGAGGGCAGTCTCACCGTCCCACATCCACTATTGTCCTGGGCAAAGATCGCTGTGTTGCGCAGTGTATTCAGGTAGCAGGCAAGGCCTCAGAGCTGTATAAATAGCAAAAACTATGAGAGAAATGCAGAGCCAACATCCAAGGCTGAATCGGACCGATAACAACTGTACACTGTACGAGCGGTGACCAATGTACCAGTTGACAAAGAACTCACAGTTCATGAATTCATGTGAATATGATCCCTTCTGTCAGGTTTATAACGTACAGCGTATGGCTGCCATCTAACTTGCTGATGGCTGATCTCAGGGAAACTGTGTCGTCAGGTGGTATTTGACGTCGTCTGATCAGACCCAATAACCGGGCGTAAAGTTTGCAGTGTAATACTGAACGGCATCCAGTGGTGCAAAAACAATCCAATGTCTGGTATTGTACATCGTCAGATTTTCAGTCAGGGTGGGAGTAAAAAGGACATCAGGAGATGGTCTGTGTTTGTTGAGGGTTCATAGACTGCCATCACTTTTTCATATTGCAGGCCAATCCGGCCGACACCAAAGCAACAGTCCAACAAGTCCTGCAAAAACAGACCAGTGACCCCGGCCAAGGATTAAGCAGGGTAAGATGAAAATGATTATTTATGAGTCGCTCACACCCACAAGCATGCTGATGCTGAAGGTGCAGTGTTACTAGTGTCCCGGTCCACTGAGCCCACATGGTATTCCTCAAACCACCTCAGCTCCACAGGGAGTATACAGTTCAATGCTGCCGTTTCAGGTGCAAACACCTTGTCGGCCAACATTCATCTCTGCCCTCAAAAGTGCCCCTTTAAGTGACTTGTTCAAGGTCACAACATGTAACCACCTGCTGGATTCGAACCCCAGACCCCGATGATCAGGAGTTACTAGCCCTGACTATTACGTTATGACCTACCAACCCCTTCTGTGATAGTTATGCACAGATTCTTGACGATGAGTGCCGCATTCTGTGGTTAGCTTGGCCAAGCTCTTGCACGGAATTCTTTTAAAGTATAGAGTAGCTGTGAGTTTCAGTTATGATGGCATATTATAAGCTGTGCTTGGAAATTGTTTTAAGATAACTGTATAAATTGTTCTTTACTTCGTCATGAGTGCTTATTCCTTAGATGTACCAATTTCAATTTGGATTTAGTATGATAACTTTGATTTTAAACATCTCAATGGTTGAATTGCTGGAGGTAAGGTTTTTTTCGTGCAACTTATTCGCAGACGGGGATCGTAGCTTCTTACGGTGGGGGAAGTGATAGTGAACCAGAGCCTGAGATCCGTCCCGCCCCTGCCACCATCAATCCCATTGCTGCCACCAGCACCGGCACAACAGCAGCAAGCACCGTTGACGCGCTGACGGACTGGGCCAAGCTGATCTGCCTGCTGTGCAAGCGGCAGTTCCCCTCCAGGGAGATCCTTGTGAAGCACCAGCAGTTCTCGGAGTTGCACAAGCAGAACCTGGAGACACTGCGGCAGGAGTCGCAGGAGCTGCGGGACCAAGAGGCAATAGAAGCCGATGTGAGTACAGCTCTCCTGGCTCTCCAACCGCAGATATGCCACGCTGAAATCTTGCAAAAATGGCCTTCTCTTCACTGTTTGCCTCAAAAACTTGCAGTAAAACTTCTTGTAAAACAATCCTTTTCAAAATCTGATGTGTGGTTAAGCTTGTTGTTAAATGTTCTTGCCTTGCAGTACCACTATCGGGATCGGGCAAAGGAACGCAGAGAGAAGTTTGGTGTGGATGAGGCACCACCAAAGAAAAAATTCCGGGCTCCAAAACCTCCAGTGTAAGTAACTGCTTCAATTGATGGTTCATAAAACAGCTACAAAAGAGTTAGTGTGGTGTCATCTCTTACAGTGGCTAAATTTGCAGAAATAGACATCGCATAGCATTGCTCTTGGAAATATTTAAAGACACCAAGTATTTATTTCCAATAACACTTACTGCATTGTAGCATAAACGGTCAACTCTCATAACAACAAATTTGGAGAGATTACTCTGCCTTTACCAAAACTTTGTTGTAGAAGGAATGAGAAAAAAGTTTTATAAAACAAAAGTTTACTTTCTATAAAAGTATTTAATGTAACAGTGTTCTTTATATCGAGAGTCAACCGTGTATATTTCCATCATTAACCCGAACTCCCCAGAAATTCATGCAAAGAACCTTCTTGGCTCCTCAACTGTGCAGGAAACCAAAGGCATATTCTTTGTGCATGTTCTTCCAAGGGGCATCAAGCCCTGCGTAAAGTAAAAGTGACTTGGCTCCACCTGCCTCCTTTAAATTGCTTCAAATCTTCCCATTGATCCTGAAGGATGTGGGATGGTCACGATCAACTCTTGACAGTTTTTTTATTATTGTAGAATTTTTTAGTTTGTGACAGCCTCATGTTTGACTGTCCGTTTGCTCTTAAAGACCGTTTGAGGAACCCACAAAGGAGGGCCTGAAAGAGGACAACATTGGCAACCAGATGCTGCAGAAGATGGGCTGGAACAAAGGAACTGGGCTCGGGAGGAAGCAGCAGGGTCGTACGGACCCCATCGAGGTAGGATTTGGCAGATACCCCTCCCTGGCTTAACCACCAGCAGTTCCAAGCCCCTGACCATCTCGGAAGGGTGAAAAGTGGTGTCAAAATTGGAGGGTTGGGACCTGTTAGGGTTTACACCGTAAAAAAGTTTGATATTTTCTGCACAGTAAAAACACCGGAGAGAAGGGGGTACAAAACGAAGAGAGGGGTCCCAAATCCTGAATCTGAAGAGAAAAAGTTGCAGCCTGATTTTTACTGCTGAGGTCAAACCAAGATCCCACATAGAAGTTGTCATTTTGTTTGATGCTGTTGGAAGCATCGAGTGAAGGAGTAAAATATGAAAAGATGAGTAATTGTGTGTGCTCCGTGTTGAACAGCCCCTCAATGGCAGAGGCTGGTAGGGACTGGCCACCTGTCCCATGCACAAAGGCCATACTTTCCGACAGCATTGAGCATTGCCTGCGCAAGGCATGCACTAACCTCTGCACACATGCGATGTGTCTTCCTCCCCCCTCCCCCCATCAGGGGATGTCGTCACCGTGTACAAATTCACCATCTCTTGTTCATGGACGGAACTCACACCTACGCTTCTGTCTTCTGGTGGGCTTTCCTCTCAACAGGTGCAGAAGAGACAAGCGGGGGCAGGGCTCGGGATCAAAGGGGGCAACTACGAGATCACAGCAACCGACTCCTACCGGGATGCCGTCAAGAAAGTCATGAGGAACAGGTTCGAGGAGATGGAGTGATGCAGCTGTGGAACTGTTTCTTTGTGTGATTCTCAAAGATTGCTACTGAGATGATGCTCTCTGGAACTATTAAAGTTGCCAATTTGACAGTGGGCTTGGGATTGCTTTTGCTTGGCCTAAAAATAGTTGACTGGCCTAAGCATTATTCAGTGGCTGGCAGCTGATACCTGCTAAGCATGTAAACTTGCTGAGCTGAGTGCCTTCTCTAAACTGGACGTCAAGTTGGTTGTGCGTTAATGTGAGCAGTGCAGGACTCAATGTGTGATTTCTTTTCCCTCTACACGAGAGCACAGAAGTATGTAGTTCAAGAGCTTGAAGCCAAATAAGAGTAGCTGCATCGTCAGCCCCAGAGAATAGACCCAAAATTGACTTACTAAGGCCTGAGCTACCTGCTTACCTTCATTATTTTCAGTTGGTCGTGTTTTTCCATAGAAGTATGTGGCTCTTTCAGTCGTTGAAGTCCGACAGCCACTCAGCATCCATTCCCAGTTCTTCATTGAAAAAAAGGTTCACAGGAAGTTGAAAGGGGAAAGTTGAAGCCTTATCCTGAATCATATCTAGCCTACCAACCAGCGATTACTTCAATAAAATTAGGGAACAGGTGTATTTGGGTCATCAAGTAAAAAGTAATGAATGTCCTATTTTTTTTATCAGCAACCCAAAGGTTGTAGGAATGCATTTTGTTTTGAGTGCGTACAAGGTTTGTGTGTTCTGCATGACACCTGTGATTGCATAAACCTGCAATGCATGGAATAGACTGGTGCAATGCAATACCAGTATTTTGACCACCTGAGACACCTAACCACCTGAACTCGGCGTGTGAGAAATTATTTAAAGTTGGAGGATTGGGTGCTTTTATATGCGTCAGCAGGCTGATTATGAGATGAGACTTTCTGTGTTCTGACAGCAACTTGCCAAGCTACTAAAAAGTAACAGGATATGCTTGATGCTTTACATCGTAAGAGATAAGTGGGAATCAGATTCTGATTTTTGTGCAAGACTGGACTTGCTGAACGATATTTTGAAAATATCTTTTGCTAATGTGATAGCTTTTAAGTTTTGTCATCAAGTGTGGCCGGACATTCTCTACAGTATTTTTTCTCTCTGCGCTAATTTATGTTCTCTGGATAGTCTAGAGCTTACTTCTGAAACATGAAAAGTTTGGGGCAAATTCTGACACGTTCGGTGAGATACAGAGCCCATTACTCTGTGCACAAATAGGGACCGTCCAATCCATCGTATCTCTGTAGGCCTCTCTGAAATTTGTAATGTTGGCAATCGTCAGCTTTTACATGCACCTATTCAAGATTCCTTTTTCATTTGCATGAAAGGCATACGATATTGTCCTTCACTCCCATACGCAGTGTCAGTTTTTAAATTGTTGATATTGAAATGTACATTGTGTCAACTGTATCATAAGAAAAAATAGTTGTAAACTGTAGCCGGGAAAGTTTACAGATGAGGTTTCATTTTTTTTGCATTTTGTCTCAAAAGTTTAGATATCTTTTCCGAGGCGTAAGCAAGAAGTTGGTGTAAATCATTGCATTTGTTATCATTCCATAAAAAAAATCTGCTTGCACAGATAAATAGCATGCAGTTACCTAAGGAACGGGAAGAGTATGAACATTGGTACTGTGGTTTCATTGGGCGAACATTCGTCAGTTTTACCGTTTTTGTAGCTCACGTGTGACCCTCTCAGTGAAAATGAATCTCCTGTCACTAGCGCCGGTCTCGAGTCAAAGGCCCTTTAACCCTCCTATGCTG